TCTTCTTCTCCCAATAAGTGGTTTTGTCCCATCCTTTTCTCTGTCTCTCTTTCTTTAGATTATCCTATCACAAAGAAACATTCTTATTCAGCTTGATGGCGGCGAGCTTCAATCTTATATCAGCAGACACCTTCTTATATCATGGAAGTCATCTTGATTCATTCTCCCCTCGAAGTCAGGTAGGTCCAATTTCATTCCCAAATCTCTGTATCCTCCAATAGACACGTCATTGCTGTATCTTCTAGCAGACAATCCATCTATGTATCCTCAAACAAACTTCACATCTCTATATATTTCAGCAGACACCTCTTCTTTGTATCTTCTAATAGACACTTGAGCTCTAGATTTCCGTTGATACTATACCCCAAAGCATTGTGACTTGTCTTCTTCTCCTCTGGATTCATCCCTACGAAAGGTATTCATGTGCTTCTCTCCTTCAAAAATTTCACTATTAAGGTCGGCAATGATCCCGCCCTAGGTTCTTTCTTCAATGGCATCGAGTTGATGTAACACTTGGCGAAGTAGTCATTGTATGTCGTCCATGGTAGGTTCCTGATTAGATCGATGGTGGCCTGGTTGGGGTTTGGGGTATATGTAGGTGGAAGGTGTAGGGGAGTGACTGAATGGGGGATGCTAGAAATTCTAGGATAAGTAAGATTAGGGTTAGACTGAATTTGATACTAATTGATATTGGAGTTAATTCGAACAATAATAGGAAAATAAATATTATTACTGGAAACAAACATACGATTATAACCAAACACGAAAGGAAAAACAGCTTCGACACAATACACAAACTCAATTAGGGTTTGATCAAGGGGTGGTGGAGATCGGCTAAGTGGATTCAGATGTCAGAAGGATGTGACGACAACGGTACATGATGGTTTAGGGGTGTGTGTGTGTGACTCCAGAGGCAACAAGTATGATTGCTGTCTTGGTTGGTGGTATCACAAAGTTGGAGTGGTTAGTCATGGAACAATCGAGAGGCGGTGTTTCCTGCCTGTCCTGTGCGCCAATAACAAAGTGGGAAGGCTGAAACAATTGGAACAAGACTAGAAAGGGATGGTTAGGGTGACAACAATGTGGGAAGGGGACGAGGAGGCGGTTGGAAGGCTGGTGGTTGCAGGAAACAACATGGTGAAGCAGTTTTGACAGTGACATGGGATAACTGGTTAGCGGCGACAGCAATGTGAGTTTTATTGGATTTGCTGTGGTAGTGAAGTGGAGGGAGGGGAAGGTGACGACCGTGACTGGAAACTGCAGAAAACAACTATCATAATATTGCCCTGGGCGACTGCAGAGGGAAGAGGGGAATGCGGTAGCGAAGGACGTCGAGGATAACTACCTCCTTTCGAGCGGGCTACAACCAAAGCACCATTCGATCCCTTGGAAGATGATCACTACCTCAGATGAGCTATAGCTAGAGCAACGCCCGCCTTTGGATATAATTATAGAAGGGAAAAAAATAGGGCGGTCAAAAAAGCTTGTTGTTCACAAACAACTGGTATTCAGTTCGTTAAATAGCTCATGTAATTGTTTGCTAAATAAATGATCCGAGCATGAACATTTTTTAAGCTCGAATATAAACAAGACGAACACGAATAACTCTTTGTTCTATTGTGTCGACTTATTTTGGCTCGAAATAAAGAAATTATATATATATTATTTATATAATAATATATTATAGATATTTGTATCAAAATTTAAATCATTGTGATCTTGTCGTTCTGCTCGTTTGATTGCACATATTGGTGCAGGTTTGAATCCAACGAATATAAATCGGGTCGAACATGAACACAAAGTGCACGAGCAATTTCAAACACGAGCCAATTTTGAATGAGTTGAACACAAACCAAGTTTAAGTTCACTTAGTAATTGTAAAATTTTAATAATAAATCTATTTAGTTAATTTAATTATTAATCAATTAAACCCATCATAATTCAAGTAAAATATTAATAATTTAATTAATTAACTTGATGATCATAAAATTTAATTAATTAACTTAATAATCATAAATTTTAATTAATAATAATTTAATTAATTACCTTAATAATCATAAATTTTAATTAATAATAATTTAATTAATTAACTTGATAATTATAAACCTATTAATTATTTAATTTAAATTAATACCTATAAAATTAAATTAATTAACTTAATAATTGTAAAATTTATTAGTTAATAATTTAATTAATTAACCTAATTAATTTAATAATTATACTAATTAATTATTTAAATTCAAATAATAATTTAATTAAATAAGTTAATAATTATAAAATTTTAATAATAAGTCTACTTAAGTTTTTAAAAAAATATAATTTTTTTTTAAAAAAAATTAGAAAATACCCAACCAAACATATTTTATATTTTTTAGTTTTTAAAATCATATAAATCAAAACATTATCAAACACATTTTATAAAAATAGAAAACAGACAAAAAACAAAAGTAAGAATAAAAAATAGAAAGAGGTCCCAAACAAGAGCTATATTCCTATACTTAATAGCTCTTTGGTTCCCTGATGGACACTGTCAGATCCTTCGTACTAGTCTCAGGATATGACTATTAAATCCTTTCAAGGAACCTATTACATTCATTCTCAACATGATATTATTTCTGGACCAAAAAGTCTTGGAACTGCACTTTTTTTAATTATAGAGATAAAATAGAGATGGTGATAGAGGATGTGATACAGGGAATTGGTGGAAATTTGAAAAACACATAGCATTTACTCATGATGATGATTACTTGAAAGCATTTAAACTATTACTTTCTCAAAGTTGGTTGCGTTGATTCTTTAAAGAATGAAACGGAAGTCCTATGCAAACTAAATTGTTGGGTGCCGGCATTCCTTATAACTCATTAAGAATTAAGTTTTGATATTATATAATTTGGCTATCTATAGAAATAATCAGACAACTAAACATTATGCGTCACTCAAAAGGCTTAGTACATACTAAATTTAGTGAAAAAAGAAATGTACATAAATTGGAAAAAAAAAGAACTAATTCAAAAAGGTTGATTTTTTTCTAATTTCTTATATTTATTTTGATTTAAGTGCAAGTCCAATGGGGATACTAATTGTATAGAACTTGTGAAAGGATTTTAGCATTTTTATTGTCATTAAGTTTTCTAAGAATGAGTTAATTTTTCCTTCAATTTTCTTTTTGTACTTATAATAGCTGATAAAATAACGGCAGCATGATAATTTAGAAACTTTTTTCTTTTTGCTCAAAATTTGGCAACGTTTTGTTATAGCGCTGGTGGCGAGTTGATGAAAATAAATACTGCCTGTTAAAAATGATGAGTAGACAAATGCTTCTGGAGGCCCCATACTCATGAATTAGGGTGACTATAACCTTATTACTTTGATAGAAACAATTGTGCTATGATCATAAAGATTTTCCAGATCTCTCGTTGCATATGATAGCTATGTTCAGGGAAGAATAATGACCTCGTTTCCGTTATATTGCATTCTATACTTGCTGAGCTTATGGTTGAACACCTCAACACATATATAACTATACTTTAGTAGTGAAGTAAGAACATCAATATTCTATTTTTCTAAAAATTAAAAGAAATTTCATCTGATATTGGTGTACGTATTGTGGAGTGTCTCTCATTTAATTTTTCAATGTTATGATCAAAGGACATTTCACTAAGTAATTGAAATAATTTTATTATTCTCAAAAATCATCTCATATTTATTAATTTGTGTAATTATTAGTTATTTTATTTTATTTTATTTTAAGATATAATATTATGATGTTGTGTTTCATGCTTATTTGTATATTATACTTTTAAAAATTGATGCCCTGTGTTCTTGCCTGTGTTGTATCATGTTTCTATTTTTGTGTTCCTGTCGGTGCATCATAGCTGGAAAGAAATAACACATTGGAATTTACCCAACTTCCAAAAGGACAGAGGCCAGCCAATTCTAACTGTTTTTTTAACTGATTTTTTCTCCATTAAATACAAATCTGATGGATGTGTGAACAAATTAAAAGCATGGTTAGTGGCCACTGGCTTTGCCTACTTTTATGGGTTAGATTGTCGGAAGGCATTTGCTCCAATTATTAATTAGGACTCCATTCATTTACTTTTGCCCCTTGCAACAAACCTAACCTATCTCCTACACCAACTAGATTTTAAATGTTTTTTTGTATATTGATATTGAAGAAGTCTATGTGATTATAACTCACGGGCTTGAGAGTTAAGTCATTGCTGACAAAGCTTGCAAACATTGAAAAATCTTATATGATATTGAACAATAACGGTATATAGTTTGATTAATTACTAAGGCTAGTGAAGATGCACATATTTTTATAATACAAGGTCAGTTTTGTTTGATATTTTACTCTACAACCTGTGTTGGGGTATCTGATGCTGCTGGGATCCGCAGATTTTATTTTGTTTGCTGACAACACTTATCTTGGGAGCTTCCATTTTTGTGTATCATTAAATATAAGAAATATCTAATTCAAATTTTTAGATCACTCCTTTTTGTCTCTCCTCTTTGATCATTCCTATTTAGACGAGTATTTAATTGTTGTACATAGGAAGATTGCGGAGCTCTTTCTTTTCTATTTATACCTAATTTTACTCGAGAATCAATCGAGAATTAAATCAGTGGAGTTTTTCACTTATTTCTACAGGTGTGCTCCATCAAATGCTAGTACATATATTTTTTGTGTCACAATATGTGAAACGAATACTTAGTGACCAAGCTGGATTTTCATCTTTATTTCTTTGAAGCGAAGGGCTTGCAGTTACCTTATATCATGAAACTTTTTTTGAACAACACTTCCTTTTCAATTTCTCAAAGAACATTTAGGTTGTTATTTTTCTTACATTTCATTTGTTTATAGCATCGCAAATAGAATTTTTACAGGTTTAGAATGATATTGCTTTTTAGCTTTGTATGTATGTGTGTGTGTGTGTGTGACTATGACAGTAAATCTACTTTGATTGCGTCTTGAAATTTTCTCAATGTTTGTGTAGTTCAATGGTTCCTGGCTCAAGAAATCCAATGTGGGGAGAAGAATTTAATTTTTTTGTTGATGCACTTCCTGCCCAGGTTAGCTTTATTTTCCACCCCCATTTTTTCAATATTAATGACTGCATTGAACAGATATCATGCATGAACTCGAGCGGTTCATTTTTTTTGCTGATCTTGAAACAAATTTTTTAAGTAATACCGTGAAGAGATACTAATATTAAATTCTACTGTCTTTGGCACTCACAGATGAATTGTGAGTTGTTTTTTTCATTTACTTATTTTTAAAATTTCTTTTATTCTCTTATAGGGAGTTGTTGCTTGCTTTTATTTAAATGCCGTTTTCTGTCAATTATCATCTTCTGACTATAATCCAAAGTTCCAATTCATTCGATGCAAAATGGGCCTAGGTAATTGTGTGACATACATGATTTTTTAGGATTTATTGCTATTGACACAAATGGAAAGTTTTCTGTGCTCTCATAATATTGAGAAAATATTGGAAATTGGCTTGAAACTTGTATGGTAAGGTGGTGGGCCATCCTGGCAATTGAGTGACAAAGAATTTTTCATCTATCATTATTATTATTTTACTGAATACAAACCTCAGAACTTATCATCAAAATACATACAAGTTAGGGATTTGTTTAAAAAAATTAGATAAAGAACCTTTAGAATTCTAACTAAAAAAATCCCTATTTAATCACTCCTTCCCTTTTGGACTTGAAAACTTCATTTATAGTTTTACCAAATTGGTTTAAATTAATTATTGGCATGCTACTGCTCTTCTCTTTAGAACCATAATTGGTCTTTCTTTATCCATACATAGATTAAGCTCGCTCCCTATTAGGAGCCCTTTCATCTTTTCTCCATTCTTAAGCTTTTTTGGTTTTCCAACAATTTAAATTCTCTTTTTAAAGACTGAACATGATTGAATCGTCATGCTAACTACCCTAGCCCATTGACGAGTATGATCACACTATCACTTAATGTTTTTTCACCTTCCACTGTCCAGAATCAGCTTCATCAAGAAAAACTGGATCCAATATTTAGAATAATTGTGTATAATTTGTGGAATTATTTGTGGCATCTGTTGCAATAGCAGAGTTTCAGGGTGTGCATGCACTACCCACACGTTGGACTATGATTTTTTTTTCTCTCAAAATCTGTCAATGCGATGGGTTTAGGTTCAGTCCATACCATTACATTTCTGAACATCAGAAGCACAGATAGGTCCCCAGGCTCAGGGGGAGCAAGGCTCAAGAAAGAAATTACATAGGGATACAAGAACTCTTCGATGCAAAACATCATACCCCAAACTGAGGGAGTATGCCACTCCTAAGAGGACTCCTCAAATGCATTTGATGTAGAAATATCCAGCTTGAGCCCTCCAATCAATTTCATCGTGATATCAATGGGAGTCAATTGAAATACTCCATTTTCAGCCCTCACCAGGCCTCCGTGTAATATCCAATTTAAGTTACAATACACACTAAGAGCTTAGGAGTATGACACAAAATCAATCCCCAAACTGAATAATATGCCACCACCAAGAGGGTGCTTCATAATCATCTGATATAAGAGAGCAGCAAGCTTTGTGAATCCCCCATCTTTCCAAGATAATGTCACAGGGAAAAGAAAAAGAAGTATTATATTGCCATGATCCATCCACTCATCAAATGCAGTCACCCCAACAACAGCTCCAGCACCATTAAAATGTCCAGTCTACAACCTGCTGATCTTCTTGCATCTGCCGTATTCTCGAGAAATGCCACCTGAAATGCAAAGACTCATACAGATTCTGTCATCAGAATCTATGCTGATGAAATATGAGAAACCCATTGAGCTCTTCAAATACAATAGATATACAAAACAAACCAAAGCCCACCAAAGTGCATAAAACACATTGCAATTCACTAATCTGATAAAGTGAAGGTGTGCATATAAAGATGTCACCTCAGAAGGCCCTGGAAATAGCCTCCATTCAGCTGGCTTGACAATGCCAACATGCTAAGAATCTAAGCAACTGATTTATTCCTAAGCTGCGTATATCCTCAAACAAATTACCAGCCTTCTTAATTTAAGGACCACATTCTACAACATTCATTCATTTTAGCACCACCTTCATTAGGTAGTGCCCAGCAGCAGGTCCTAATAGAAAACATGCAAGCTTTACCTTGCTTGTTTATGAATTATGTTCTTCGCTGAAAACACCAGAACACATCCCTACGAAGTATATCATGCGTATATGTGCCTCTTATGACACAATGGTGTGTAGAAACCTAGTGGATTATTATATCAAATACATTTCCGAAATTTAGCTGTGATACTTATTTGGAAGACATAATATGCTACACACTTTAGCCTTATTTCAAGTATTACTACTGATTCAGAAGATTGTTCTTTTTGATGAGATTTCAGGCCCACCACTTATTTTTCTTCTATTGCTCACAAACTGTTATTTTTCATTTCTCTTTTCTTATTTTGTTCTCGGGAGTAAGAAGTAATTTATTTTAAGGATTCCTGGTATTTGAAGCTGAATCAAGCCAAATCACAATACTCTCGTACTTTATGCAGTTCCACATCTAATGTTGTTTCAGCATGTTATTTGTATGCATCTAAGAACTAGATACTTGGACATCTTTCATGTGATTATTATAATTTTTGTGCAACACTTTCAGATTAGTGTTACGATTTATGACTGGGACATCATATGGAAAAGCACAGTCCTTGGGTCTGTTGTTATTACTATTGAAAATGAAGGCCAAACTGGAGCTATCTGGTACACATTAGACAGCACATCAGGACAGGTTTAGTATCATTATGCTATCCTTTTTATCAATGATTAATGGAAAACGGCATTTATTTGTTTGCATGCTACTTTTTTCAGGTTTGTCTTCATACTAAAACTGTGAAACTTCCAGTGACTTCCGGCAGGTTATTTCTTACTTTTATTTGGCATTATGCTAGTTTCCTAATACCACGTCTTGCTTCTCGGTTTCTTTTCAATTTTCCACTTTTGGTTTGTTTTCTTAAGAAGCTTTCTGTACATTGCACGGGCCATAGCCTCATTTCTTATGCAACTGCTTTGGCTTTATTGGCATATTTAAAATAAGCTGATTAAAATTAGGTGTGAAAGATCACAGTGTTTGGTTTCTTAGCTTTTTCATGCTTTCTGATCTATTCCTTTTTGAGTTTTTTGAATGCTTGTGTTATGGTCGTATTAATTTTCTGGTTGTTGTAGAATATGGCATGGATGTTATAAGAATTTGTAAAGGAACCAGTCCACCTCCAGTACTGTAAGCAAATCACTCATATTCTACTTGTCTAAACATCTTTTTTATCAGCACATTAGATATCAAGAACTTGTCCTCAACATATTGATTGGTGTATTGATTCTCACTTTCTTATCATTTAGGATTTATGCCAGATTATTAAATTCTTAATTGTTAGAAACCTCATCATAGGCAAGGTGACAAGTATTTAAAAAAATTGAAGTTTTAGGTGTTAGATATGTAAATACATAGGAATTGAGTGTTGTGTTTGCAAATCTTCCTTAAAAATCATCATAACTTGAGCTTGTTCCATAGATAAGTGGAATTGCAAAGGAACCTTTTTCATATGCCCCAATTGCTCGCAACATATAACTAATTTTCTCTACTATCTAAAGAAAAATGGTGAAATAGGAAATTATTTTCAAGAAAAAAAAATTTGAAGAAATAGAAGAGATTTAAAGCATGGGACTTTGATATATCCATAAATCCCATTGGTAACAAGGATGGATGATGAATCACCTCATCATGCACTGGTAAAATGAGTTGTTAATCCAAGTTAAAAGGGGAAATTCTGTTTTCTTTATCCTCCACCACAAATAAAGAACTCCTTTCAAGAAGAATGTAGGAGAAGAAGAATGACGAAGAAGAATGTAGAAGAAGATTGGCGATGATGTTACTTGTGGCTAAAGGGAGACAAGGAGGAGCGTGACGAGGTGAGGTAAGGCGAGGCTAGGCGGACCTTCTCGACCGGCTAGGGTATGATCGTGGTGGAGCGAGGCGAAGCGAAGCGATAAGGGTATAACCTGTTTATTTGTGAACCGCGGCACGCACCACGTTGTTCGCTGTCGCGAATAAGAAGTGAGGAGAAACGGCTTTCATGACCGAGGGACTAAAAAGCAAGAACCAAACAACTATAAAATGCTGTTTTTGTCAAAGCTGGTTTGGAAAGCCCAAGCAAACGGGGCCCTAAATTTACACGGTTGGATTGCCCTTGCTTCATCTCTCGCTCTGTCTCCTCTTCATCTCTCCCCATTGCTTTATTCACAAGAGGCTTCGCCTTCCCTCTTAATAATATGTCTCAAGACCGGATGAGAAAAGTGGAGGGTTGCGTTAGGTAGTCGACAGCCAGCGTAAAACTTGTCGAAAAAAATCATGACATGAATCCTTTTGATCATTGTGTAAGTGCTAGGGCGTCCCCTGGAAGCGACGTGATGTATAGCCTGAATACAATGAAAAGTGTGCAAGGGCCGCTACACCGGCGCCCGGGTGTAGTGTTAAATAAGCAAGAGTTCTCACATTACGGTCGAATGCGGGTAAAGAAGTTAGTCCATGAAACTAATGAAACTAATATTAGGATAGGATCTTGGAATATAGACACTCTCAATGGTAAATTAATGGAATTAGTTGATATTATGATTCATAGGAAAATTAATATCTTATGTATTCAAGAAACTAAGTGGGTGGGAGAAAAGGCTAAGGAGATTGATAATGTAGGTTTTAAACTTTGGTATTCAGATAAGAGATCTTTCTTTTC